AGAGCGGCTGAAGGAGCTGGGGCTGTTTAGTATGAGGAAGAGGAGGCTGAGGGGAGACCTCATCACTCTCTACAACTACTTGAAAGGACACTGTAGAGAGGTTGGAGCTGGTCTCTTCTCACAGGTAATTAACAATAGAACGAGAGGGAACGGCTTCAAGCTCCAACAGGGGAGGTTTAGATTGAACATTAGGAAGGAATTTTTCACTGAAAGAGTGGTCGGGCATTGGAACAGGCTGCCCAGGGAGGTGGTTGAGTCACCATCCCTGGATGTGTTTAAGGGATGTTTAGATGCAGTGCTGAGGGATATGGTGTAGGGGAGGACTTTGTAGAGTAGGGTAGATGGTTGGACTCGATGATCCCAAGGGTCTCTTCCAACCTCAATGATTCTATGATTCTATGATTCTAAGAGCACCGGGGAGCAACCCACAGAAGGAAAAGATCAGAGAAGCCTTCCTCTGCGTGAGCTGAGATGGCTAAAAAAAAAGCTCTGGGGAGGAAATCCCAGGTGGTAAGCGCTGAGCGCCGGAGGGCTTTGCCCTCGGGAGCCAGCCTGAAGGAGTTGTGCTAAATGTTAATTAGGAAAATGGGATTTGTGTTAAATGCCGTCCGAGGATGCTCGATGGATGGGGAGTGGGATGAGGGACCTGGCAGGGAGCTGCAGGGTGGGCTACATCCCCCCTGAAGGTGTTTGCCTCCCTGCAGGGCGTCGATGACCTGACGGGCGAGCCCCTGGTCCAGCGCGAGGACGACAAACCCGAGGCCGTTGCCGCCAGGCTGAGAAAATACAAAGATGCTGCAAAGCCAGTAATAGAGCTGTACAAGTGAGTGGGAACCACGTGAATAAATCACAGAGTGTCTGTAAAAACAGCCACAAGGACGGTTTCCACCAGCCAGTCCCATGGCTCCATCCTAACAGCCCAAGGAACCCCAGCATGGCCCCCAACAGGTTTTTTTGGGGGCAGATCACTGAGGTCGGCAGCACAAAGCCTTTCATTGCAGCTGGGCCCTGGCCCTGTTTGGAGGGAGGAGGCTGATGGAAAGAAATTCACAGCTCCTGTTTGTCTTGCTGGGCTCCACACAGGGCTTTGCTAGTGCTGTCAATGGGAGGGATTTTTTTTGCTGTGGCAGAAGATGTTTGCAAACCCTTTCTCCTCCCTAGCTCCGCTGTGCAGGGTGGGAAACCTCTTTGCTTTCCAGAGGTGCTGCCCATCAACGCTAGGAAACCCAACCAGTTAAGAGTCTTCTCAGACTCTTCTCAGTGGTGCCTCGGGACAGGACAAGGGGCACCGGCCACAAACTGGAACATGGGAAATTCCATCTCAACATGAGGAAAAACTTTCCTGTGAGGGTGGCAGAGCCCTGGAAGAGGCTGCCCAAGAAGATGGTGGAGTCTCCTTCTCTGGGGACATTCAAACCCCACCTGGACATGTTCCTGTCCAACCTGCTCTGGGTGGACCTGCTTTGGCAGAGGGTTGGAGTAGATGATCTCCACAGGTCCCTTCCAACCCTCACTATTCTGTGATTCTGTAAAGTGCTTTAGAGAGTGAGTGGCCTTCAGGGGGACACGGGTGAGCTGTTGTCCTGGGTAATGTCATTATTTGTGGTTATCTGGGTTTGGCTCATCCACATGTGAGTGCAGCTGTGGATGGGCCAGGCTGTGTCCTTCCGATGGCCAACCTCACAGCAAATATCCCCATCCTGAGGGACTGAAGATACCCCCGGTACTGACTTCTCCTCCCATCTCTCTTCCAGGAGCAGGGGCATCCTTCATTCCTTCTCGGGGACGGAGACCAACAAGATCTGGCCGTACGTGTACACCCTGCTCTCCAGCAAGATCCCACCCGTTCTTTCGGACGAGGAGAACTAAACAGCTTGTGCCAAGGACCAAGAGTTAACGCCGTCACGGATTTGGTTTCTCTGGGGCTGTGCTCAGATTAGGTGATCGTGCGGTATCTCAAGTCCCTTCCCTGGGTGTGCTGGGTGACCTCCATGGGTACACCATTATAGCCAGTTTCAGGGTGAAAAGATCTTGGCTTGTAAGGTCAAATCTGCTAGAATAAGATGGGGTTTTTTTCTCTCTTGAGGCTATACAATATTCCTGCCTATGGTCCAGTACACACACAGAGCTGGGTAATGATCATACCAGGGTTACACATCTTGCCATGGTGTCCCTGCTACCCCCATACAAACCCCAGTCTCTGAGCCTTCAACGTGCCATCCTTTTCCTCCACAGTACCATTTACTGCAGATTACTCTCTAGGTCGTTTCTTTTTTAAAAAAGAAATACAAAAATTATTTTCTATAAAATTTGTTTATCAGAGAAATAAGGCTCTAAAAAGCAAGGCTTAGCCCAGTGGGAATTGGTGAGCAACGTGGAAAATATTTACACTCCAAAGCTCAGAAACATGGAAGATCACATTTCTGATATTAATACACACGAAAGAGGGAAAATATTGGGAGGTAAAACACGCTCTTGTGCTTGTTCCGTAGAGAGAGATGAAACCCCTGTTACAGAGCGCTGCCGTTTTCACGAGCTGCTGTGACACCGAGCAGGACCCGTGCCAGGGATGAGCCACGCTCCTTTGTGCTTACCTTGTTTATCGCTTTTCACACTACGAGATACACTCCTGTTTATGAGAGTTTCTCCCAAAGATGTATTTTTAGCGTCTGCTTTGGTTTTGGGGAGAAATCGAGTCGTTCCATCTTCTGTGCTGCCTTTATCCCTGAGGTCTCCCAGCGATGGGGTGTTCCCTAAGCGGCTCCAGCATCCCCAGCAGAAGTGACTCCCTCCCCACGAACCCCCGGAGGGACCAGAGCCTTCCCTTCCCTGGGACACGTGCAGGAGCTGCCGAGGGCCATCCTCAGGCATTTCCCCAAGATTTACAGCTTCCTCTGCACATCTCGCTCCTCTTTTCTTGCGCAGGAGCTTTGTGTCTGGGTGGGGTGGCTTTTCTCAACTGGAAGTACTGTAACCCCTCTTTGGTGGTAGGATGCAGTACCTAAGCAATGGGGACGTTCTTTATGTCTCCACGAGTTGCCTTATTTTATAGAATATATATTTAAGGAAAAAAAAAAAAAAAAAAGCAAGATGTGTATTTTTAAAAGTTTGGAAAAAGAAAAAAGCGCTGAAGTTTAGCATTGACTTTTGGGAGCTGTGCAGGAGGCTGCTGGTGTTCGCAGAGGGTGCTGCGGGCTGCCATGGGTGGCTCAGCAGGAGGGCAGAGAAGCTGTCACTCCCCGACCCCTGTTTGATTAATTAGAGCAGCCTGGGCAAGCTTCTGCTGCTGAAATGTCACTCTTTGTATTTTTGCTCGGAGAGCGGCGCCGTGGCAGGGGATGGGGGAGCCGGCTGACGTTTTCAGGGATGCACGGGCTCCATGCCTGAAACTTCAGCACATCCCTGGGAATCTTTTATCCCTGCAGAGCCACCCGCATCCTTGCATTATCAGAGGAGCCCCCGGTGTCTGCACTCTCCCTTGGAGGCAGTTTTTCCCTGGTACTCTCCTGATAACGGAGCCAGGAGCCACTGGGTGTTTGCGGCAGCAGGAGAGGGCTCCTCATCCCGCCTGGGTGGGACATTCCCAGGGTGGGAGCAGAGGGACCTTTGGGTTTCACTGCTGTCCTCGGGGGCCTTTCCATCCCTCCCCCCCTCCTCTTGGAGCTCCTGGCCTGGGAGGAGGCAAATCTTCCACCCTGCAATGAAATCCTGTTTAAGAAAGGTTTGGGATTTTCCCATGACCCTCGGACAGAGGTCTGGGCCGTTTTTGAACACAAATCTGGAAACAGCCAAAATGTGAGCGCTCTTTTCTTACTAACAGTGTTGGGCAGGAGGGGAGCAGATGATGGAGGAGGGGAGGGAGGAGTTTTTTAGGCTTTAAAAGCAGCCCGGCCGTGGTGGGTGGCTCTACCAGGGCTGAGTGCTGGGCAGGGTGGGCTGCTCCCTGCTTTTCCTCGCCGAGCTCTTGTGTCTCATCCTTCCCCTCTGCAAAATGCCTCCTGGTGCATCACCCAGCAGCAGGACAGACATTTTTGCCCCAGGAGAGCCACCCAAGCGCTTGTTTTAAAGACTTTGAGCCCTATGGTAGATGTAGAAATCCCGTGACTCTGCATGCATCGAGCCCTTGGGATAGAGTTTTTTCTACAAGAGTTGTCGTACGGTGCATTTTCATAGACCAAATACTGGCAGGGATGAGGTCCTGGAGCCAGCTCTGTCCCCCACCTTTCCTCCCTGCCGTGCTCCCCTTTGGTACTTTACTGTGAACCTCGCGCCTTTTTCTAAAACGCGACAGCAATTTTGTACCGACCCAAAATACTGTGTGTGTGGTGGCAGGAGGGTGTCCCTGCCCGCGGGGCACCGCTGCCGTGTCACGCCGAGTCTTTCCTCCTGGAGTTTCTTCCCGGCGAATCGCTGCAGCTGTGTTATTACTGCTCGAAAGATGTAAATAAATATTATTTTCTTTTCCTCCTGCTTACCCCTGTGCCCGCAGTGTCTGCCTGTGAGTTCGACCCGGTCGCCGCTGAAAGCCAGGCTCTGCACGAGCCCTTGCCCTGCCCCGAAGCCGTGGGACGTGCCTGCAGGTAGCAGGTCATTTTTGACCCAAGTTTTCTTTGTAGGAACCGATGAGGAAGAAGAGAAAGGGAGGGAGAGGGGGAAGAAGACTCACAGCATCCCCACTTGATCATAGCGGAATATCCCTACATAAAATGAGTTCCCCCCAGGGTTTGGGTTTGGGCACAATCCCTGTCTTCTAACTCCTTTATTTGATACCATCCAAATTATCATAGAATCATAGAGAAGAGACCCTTGGGATCATCGAGTCCAACCATCTACCCTACTCTACAAAGTTCTCCCCTACACCATATCCCCCAACACCACATCTAAACGACTCTTAGACACATCCAGGGATGGCGACTCAACCACCTCCCTGGGCAGCCTATTCCAGTGTCTGGCCACTCTCTCTGTGAAAAATTCCTTCCTAATGTTCAGTCTAAACCTACCCTGTTGGAGCTTGAAGCCATTCCCTCTTGTTCTATTGTTAATTACCTGTGAGAAGAGACCAGCACCAACCTCTCTACGGTGTCCTTTCAAGCAGCTGTAGAGAGTGATGAGGTCTCCCCTCAGCCTCCTCTTCCTCAAACTAAACAGTCCCAGCTCCTTCAACCGCTCCTCATGTGATTTGTTTTCCAGGCAGGGTGGATGAAGCCCTCCCATCCTTGTTGCACGTGAAGTGGTCTTTATTTTCCTATTTAACTTCTCCCACTGAAAGTAACGGAGAGCACTGGGCACAGCCAAGCTCTGGCTTCTGCCTGTGCCCCGTGTCATCCATCACGTGTATTTTGGTAGAGGGAATTGAAAGCCAGAAGATAACGTCCCTCTGCCCACCACTACCAGCTTGCAGATTCAATAATTTTTTGCTTTTTTACTCTTAATTCCCAAATAGTGGCTTTGGGGCGCTTGGTTCCCTATTTGGCATAAGCAAAGGCTCTGAAGTGATTAGGGAGAAATTAAAAAAAAAAGGGTAATAAGCAGTGAAAATGCTGCCGGGAGGTGAGAAACCAGAGACACGGCTGCCCCTTGGCCTCGGCATCGCCGGGGAAGGAGCCAAACTCGCCAGGAGGGGTGTGGGTGATGCCAGGGTTTTGGGGTCCTGGCCATCCGGAGGCAGAGGAGGGATGTATTGGCTCAGCACGACTCCGTGCGAGGGTGCAAGGGCAGATAAATATGGGGAGGAAAAAGAGCTACGTAAGCTGGAAAATGAACTCAGTTTAAAAAACAAAAGTTTGGAGGTCAGAAAGCAGAGGAATCTGTGAGGAGTGCCAAAATCAAGCTGAGACCAAAGCCCTGACTGCCCTCCGGGGAGCGGGGGTGGCACAAGGGTTGGTGTCCTTGTCCCTACAGCCACAGCACCCACCGGGGTGCCACTGGCCACCCCAAAGTGTGTGTGGGGGCTTCTCCCCAGCTGCAGGGGACACGCACCCAAACCCGGCACGGCTGGGGACATAAAAAAAGCACCCCAACACCCACCAAGCAGCATGTCCCTGTGAGGCTGCCCGATATTTCTTTGAATTTCCGAAAGCATTAAAATTCCCACTTTTGTATTTATATATACATTGTGCAATATCGACCCCAAGCTGGAAAATGAACTCAGTTTAAAAAACAAAAGTTTGGAGGTCAGAAAGCAGAGGAATCTGTGAGGAGTGCCAAAATCAAGCTGAGACCAAAGCCCCGACTGCCCTCAGGGGAGCTGGGGTGGCACTAGGGTTAGTGTCCTTGTCCCTACAGCCACAGCACCCACCGGGGTGCCACTGGCCACCCCAAAGTGTGTGTGGGGGCTTCTCCCCAGCTGCAGGGGACACGCACCCAAACCCAGCACGGCTGGGGACACAAAGCACCCCAACACCCACCAAGCAGCGTGTACCTGCGAGGCTGCCCAATATTTCTTTGAATTTCCAAAAGCATTAAAATTCCCACTTTTGTATTTATATATATACATTATGCAATATCGATCCTCTTCACCTAAAGTTGGCCAACGTAAGCAGTGTGGGGTGCAGAAAGCAAACTCCACGCTGCTTATAGAATCATAGAATAGAATCATAGAATGGTTTGGGTGGGAAGGGACCTCAAAGATCATCGAGTTCCAACCCCCCTGCCCTGGGCAGGGACACCTCCCACCAGACCAGGTTGCTCAAGGCCACATCCAGCCTGGCCTTGAACACTTCCAGGGATGGGGCATCCACAACTTCCCTGGGCAACCTGTTCCAGTGTCTCACCACCCTCAGAGTAAAAAATTTCTTCCTGAGATCTAATCTGAATCTTTTTTCTTCCAGTTTAAAACTGTTTCCCCTTGTCCTATCATTACCCTTCCTGGCAAAGAGTCCCTCCCCAGCTCTTCTATAGGCACCCTTCAGGTATTGAAAGGCCGCTATAAGGTCTCCCCGGAGCCTTCTCTTCTCCAGGCTGAACAATCCCAGCTCCCTCAGCCTGTCTTCAGAGGAGAGGTGATCCATCCCTCTGATCATCTTCGTGGCCCTCTGCTGCACCTTATTTACAACCCTGTTATTTTAACTTGTCCTGTGGCCTTTCTGCCCCCCGGAGACCTGCCCCCTGAGCTCCTCTGTCCTTTCCCCACCAGCCCTTACGCTCCTCTGCCCGGGGAGATTAAAGCTTCTGGGATGCTCCTATAGGGTGGGGATGGGGGATACCCAAGGAATATAACAGGAATTACCGGGGACTGCTTGGAAGAAACGGCACTGATGGCTCATAACCCCCTGGCATCTGTAATTATGCTGTGATGAAGGTTTTGGGGCAATTAATAGCGTGTTTATAGCATCAGCACTAGCCTTCCTGGCTACCCAGGGAAGCACCTGGACCAGCACACTGCCCTGTTCCCAGCCCTGCAAAGCTTGGACACGCCGCATCCCTGCTGAGTCCATCCGAAGGATTTAACCTTCTCCCAAAAATAAATAAATAAATAAAAAACCCAGGGGGGGAAAAAAAAAAAAAAAAAAAGAAGCTTGCTTAGGTTTGCGCTGGCAGGCTCAGCCCTGCAGACTCCAGATCCCACTCCATGCCACATTTTAGAAGATGTGATATGTCTGCCTCCATCCTCATCCTTCCCTGAGTCCCTGTAATCCCAAATATAACCCCGGCGCGCGCAGTTTCCCAGGCGGCAGCGCCCCGAGCCCATGGGCACCCTCGCCCCGTGACCCGATGACGAGGGGACGAGGGGCCCGCGGGAGCGCAACCGGCCTCCCCGCCGCCCTGCCGCAGGAACCCCGCCGGGAGGAAGAGGAGGATGCGGGGATCTGAGGGACAAGGTAAGGAAAGCTCCACCGAGGGAGGATGGAAGGAAGAGCCAGAGGGTGCCCGAGGAAGGAAAGAGGGGACGGTGTCCAGGGTAGGTTTGTGCTGAGTAATCGGGGGGAAGGCACCTTGGGATCCCCGCAGCTGGGGAGAAAGCAAAATAATAATAATAATAATCATCATCATCATCCTGCTTTAAAGCCTTGTTATATAATGGGCTGGCGGGAAGGTTTTGCATGGAAAAACTGCTCCTCCTGGCAGCGTGGCACATATCGCTGTCTGGGGGCAAGTTAAGGTGCT